GAAAAAAAATGAAAGAAAGAAAGGAAGAGAGAGAGAGAGAGAGGGAGGGAAGGAGCGAGGGAGGGAGGGAGGAAGGAAGGAAGGGAGAAAGAAAGAAAGAAAGAAAAGAAAAGAAAATAAAGTCATTAAAAAAATTATTAAAAATAAAAAATTAAAAAAAGAAAGAATAGAGCAACCAAACCAAAAAACAAAGCTACCAATGATAACAGGCATTAAAAGCTATACAAAAAAAAAAAAGAATAAAAACTGGACAGACAGAACCCTAGGACAAAAGGTAAAGCAAAGCTATACAGACAAAATCACACAAAGAAGCATACACATACATTCTCACAAAAGAGAAAAAGGAAAAAATATAAATACATATAAAATAGGGCTTCCCTGGTGGCACAGTGGTTGAGAGTCTGCCTGCCACTGCAGTGGACACGGGTTCATGCCCTGGTCTGGGAAGATTCCACATGCCGCGGAGCGGCTGGGCCCGTGAGCCATGGCCTCTGAGCCTGCGCGTCCAGAGCCTGTGCTCCGCAACGGGAGAGGCCACAACAGTGAGAGGCCCACGTGCCGCAAAAGAAATAAATAAATTAAAATAAAATAAAATAAAAAGGAAGAGAGCAACCAAATCAATAAACAAACCTACCAATGATAATAAACTCTAAATACTAAACTAAGATAAACACAAAACTAGAAACAAATTAGACATAGAAAGCAAACCCCAAGTCTACAGTTGCTCCCAAAGTCCACCGCCTCAGTTTTGGGATGATTCATTGTCTATTCAGGTATTCCACAGGTGCAGGGTACATCAAGTTGATTGTGGAGATTTAATCCGCTGCTCCTGAGGCTGCTGGGAGAGATTTCCCTTTCTCTTCTTTGTTCGCACAGCTCCTGGGGTTCAGCTTTGGATTTGGCCTCACCTCTGCATGTATGTCGCCTGAGGGCGTCTGTTCCCCACCGAGACAGGAAGGGGTTAAAGTAGCAGCTGATTAGGGGGCTCTGGTTCAGTGAGGCCAGGGGGAGGGAGGGGTATGGAATGCAGGTCAAGCCTGTGGCAGCAGTGGCCAGTGTGACGTTGCAACAGCCTGAGGCACACCATGTGTTCTCCTGGGAAAGCTGTCCCTGGATCACGGGACCCTGGCAGTGGGGGGCTGCACAGGCTCCCAGGAGGGGAGGTGTGGATAGTGACCTGTGCTTGCACACAGGATTCTTGGTGGCTGCAGCAGCAGCGTTAGCGTTTCATGCCTGTGTCTGATGTCCGTGCTGATAGCCGTGGCTGGTGCCTGTCTCTGGAGCTCGTTTAGGCGGTGTCCTGAATCTCCTCTTCTCACGCACCCCAAAACAATGTTCTCCTGACTCTTACGAAGTTACAACTTTTTCCTGGACCCCCTCCCGCTAGCTGTGGCACACAAGCTCCCTTCAGGCTGTGTTCATGCAGCCAACCCCAGTCCTCTCCCTGGGATCTGACCTCTGAAGCCCGAGCCTCAGCTCCCAGCCCCCACCCGCCCCAGCAGGTGAACAGACAAGCCTCTTAGGCTGGTGAGTGCTGGTCGGCACTGATTCTCTCTGCAGGAATCTCTCCACTTTGCCTTCTTCACCCCTGTTGCTGTTTTCTCCTCCATGGCTCCAAAGATTCCCCCCAACCCACTCCCTGTTTCCACCAGTGAAGGGGCTTCCTAGTGTGTGGAAACTTTTCCGCCTTCACAGCTCCCTCCCACTGGTGCAGGTCTGTGCCTATTCTTTTGTCTCTGTTTTTCCTTTTTTCTTTTGCCCTACCCACGTATGTGGGGAGTTTCTTGCCTTTTGGGAAGTCTGAGGTCTTCTTCCAGGCTTCAGTAGGTGTTCTGTAGGTGTTGATCCACATGTAGATGTATTTTTGATGTATTTGTGGGGAGGAAGGTGATCTCCACGTCTTACTCCTCTGCCACGTTGAATGTCCCTTCCCATTCCCTCCTTCTTAATAACTTACGTCATCTAAATTCATAACACAGCACTCACCAGAAGATGTCCTCCTACCTTGTTCCTTCTCACACTCCTTTGCTGTTGTCGTCTTTTATCACCTCTTTCATCAAGCTCAGGTTTCAGTCGTCTATCTACACTTACTCCATATCATCTATGTAATGATAATGTTCACATTTTTTGTCTTCAGACTGAAACTTCAGCTGCCTACTTGACACAGCTATTCAGATATCTAATAGGTATCTCAAACTTAAAATGAACTCCTGGTAGAAAAGGAGTTCATTCCCACCTAAACTGTTGGTGGGGAATCCAAGTTGGTACAGCCACTATGGAGAACTATATGGAGGTTCCTCAGAAAACAAAAAATAGTTACCATATGATCCAACAATCCCACTCCTGGGCATACATCCAGACAAAACTCTAATTCAAAAAGATACATGCACCCCTATGTTCATAGCAGCACTATTCACAATAGCCAAGACATGCATAAAACCAAAATATCCATCAACAGATGAATGGATAAAGAAGATGTGATACTTATATACCACAGAATACTACTCAGCCATAAAAAAGAACAAAATAATGCCATTTGCAGGAACAGGGATGCAAATAGAGATTATCATACTAAGTGAAGTAAGTCAGAAAGAGAAAGATAAATACCATATGATATCATTTATATGTGGAATCTAAAATATGACACAAATGAACCTATCTATGAAACACAAACAGATTCACGGACATAGAAAACAGACTTGTGACTGCCAAGGTAGAGGGAGTTTGGCAGGGGAAGGGATGGGGTGGGAGGTTAATTTTAGTACATGTAAGCTATTATATATAGAATAGATAAGCAACAAGGTCCTACTGTATACCACAGAGAACTATATTCAATATCCTATGATAAACCATAATGGAGAAGAAAATATAAAAAAAGAATGAATCACTTTGCTATACAGCAGAAATTAACACAACATTGTAAATCAACTATACTTCAATTTTAAAAAATGAACTGGTATTTCTCCCTGTTCACAAAATCTGCTCTTCCCAGGACCTGTCTCATGTTAGATGACAGTAAAAACCATTTTTACAATTGTTTAGGACAAAAATCTTGCAGTTTTCCTTAATTCTTCTCTTTATCTCATGCACTATATCTACTCTATCATGAAATCCTATAGGCTCAATCTTAAAAAATACATAAAACATCCCTCAATTTCTCTCCACCTCCACTGCTTCACCTTTGACCTGAGCTGACTGACTTCCTCTCTCATCTTAATGCAATGCTACAATAACCTCCTACTGGTCTTCCTGCTTTCACACTTATCCTCCTTCTCCAGTCCATTCTCAACACAAGATTTGAAGTAATTTTCATAAAACAGAAGTTACATCAAGTCACTCTACTGAAAGACCTGAAATTACTCCCCATTTCACTCTGAGTAAAAGCCAAAGTTCTTAAAATGGCCTATGTTAGGTCCTACATGACCCATCCCTCTCTTCCTTCTCATCTAAAAACATTCCATATTTCAAAGAATAGTAGTCAGATTTGACTCATCTGCTTAAGCAATAAACTTTAGGGCTTTCCTTGAACTTTTCTTCCTCACCATCACACCTCTGATCAGTTGCCATGACCTGTTGATTACTCTTTCCTTGTATCTCTCAAATCCATTTATATTTTCCATTGCTGCTCCCTACCTCCCTACCTCCAATCTCATCTCAACTCAAATCTATCTGCTACATATTAATACTAAGGTGATGTTTCTAGTTAAATGCTAACCCATTCATATCATCCAAGTCTGTCTACCTCCAAAGGTCTCCCCCTTTACCCATCTTTTTCTGATGATTCTTAAGTGATACTTAGATTGCATAATATGTTGCCTAACAAGTAGGAAGCTTTAATTATAATTCAGGCTACTTTTGAAATGGCTCTCTGTTATAATAAATTCATTGGGTCACTTATTCGAAGTGTTTTGCAGCATACAATTCGCTTGTGAGGTGTTATGTATTAGTCTTTGTTCTATTAATACTTGACATTTTTATAAAGATTAATTTTTTGTGCATGCAATCATTTATAAAATAAACAGTAGATTTACCCATTAATTTAGATTATACTTTTAAGTCAAGAAAAAGTCAGCCACCTTGGCATGAGTACAGATGTACAGTAGGCTCTTCTTATCTTAAAACTACTACAGATTTCAAACAAAATAATATTAAAGAAGCAAAAAGAATATTAAGCAATAATGATAATACTAAGTAAGAATATTAATTTCCATAGTTTCCAAAATGCTTCACATAAATAAGCTCATTTATTACTACAACTACCCAAAGAGTAGATATTATTTCCCCTTTTCAGAGGAGCAAATTAAAGATCAGAGAAGTTAAGTGATATGATGGAAAATATCTAGCAAATCAGTGACAGAACTGACTCAGGAACTTGTTCTCTTTCATTATATACCATGTGCTAATGCCTTTATATTCAGATGCTTAAATACAATATGTAACAAACCATCTAAGTGTAAGATAATGAAATGCTACTTTTTTAAGTAGATAAATGCCCACCTTAAACATTTTATTTTGTGAAATTAAAAGTTTTACTTTTCAATGTAAAACAACTCAGCATTGTCCTTCCACATTATTACTAAATATCAGTCTATTCTAAAATTTTTGATGTAACATGGAGGTGACATATTACATTAAGAAACCATAGTAACATACTATACGAAACCATTTCAACTGTTAAAAGGTTAGATTTTGGTTCTGTTTAAAGGTCAGACCTGAAAATATGATGATGATTACATTTCTCCACACATTTTGGGTGGTGCCATTAAAGTCCTGGCATGAAACCACTATCTTTAATATCTAACCACTGAAAGGCCATTAGTGTATTCAAAAAGAATATTACACCACACTCTGACAAAAATGGTAAGCCTCTACATTGCCACACATGTAGGTGAACGAAAAACACAATGAGATTTATATGAAGATTCCTCTTACGTCCCCTAACTCATAAAGGCTTTGGCTTTAAAAGCTCAAAAATATAGCTGTATAAATGACTACTTTACCTGTATGGCCAGTTCCCTTGTTCTTGACTTCTGTGGTTGCCACAGAAGAGGTGGGTGGACTAACAGGAGGGCTGGAAGTAAAGCTTGTACACCCTGTAGATGTGCTGATTTCAAAATATTCTTGGCTGTGATTCATTCGATGAAAATCCAGAGAAGACACAATAGATGTTCGTTGTTTAGGCTAAAATAAATGAGCATGATGAGAGTATTAATATGATCATGTTCACCTTCAGCCCAATCTCCCCATCAATTTAATCTAAGTGATATTTTTCAGTTAAACTGTCTGTTTTTTATATATAAAATATACTTGTGCTTCACAGAGAGACATTAAATAATCCCTTGATTAGTTAAATAATAAAAAATTGTTTAATGAAAAAATATCATGGCATAGTTGATAAAATAAGTTAGACTTTTTGTTAGATTTTCCCAGAAGACTGCAAAAATACAGTGCGCAGAATTTCTCTTAATGATCTATTCAGAATGTTGCAATTTTGAGTCACCTTTCATTCAACTAATACTTATTAAGGACTTGGCATTTGCCAGACTCTGAGGATATAGAATCTAATAATAAAAGGGCCCTTACAACACTGAAACATAATTAAGGCAGTTCCATTTTTTTTTATTCTCTATATAGTCCAAGGAATTGGTGGCATTAGATATTGTCCCCAAGTACCATATGCTGGGATTTCATCATTAGAATTAAGTAAAGTTGTATAGCACATTTTCCAGGATCTAAGAATCTACTTGGTATTTGTAGTGGAATTTGATCTTCTTTTTTAAGGATTTAAATTAACCCCCAAATAGCAAGAAAAGTCAATTTAAACACAAAAGGTAAAATCATGGAGTAACAGCAGATATATTCTATACCCTTTAACAGTAATGGATTATTCCCTAGAGCAGTTTTCTGGTTTTTTCCACAATTTTAATTATATTCACTTTTTTTTTCCTGCTTAGCAGAGCTTCAAACATCATCCTTCAGAAAAGCTGCAGTCTCTTTGGCTCTCAGGACTGTGCACATTTCCTAAGAATTAATCCAAGTTTTCTTACTTTTTATTCTTCTTATTCATATTAATGAAATATTAACAATCTCTTGTAAAGCTTGATAAGAGATTAACTACAATCGCTTTGTAATAGTTTATTGTACTTTACTTTCCCCAAAGTACAATAAACTTTTGGTTTACTAACACTTCCACTGCCCTAAAATACTTGCTAATTTTATCACTGAATTCCACAATTATTTTCCTGCAGGATATTCAAGTTACCCTGTCTCTTCCAGCTCATGTTTTTTTTTTATAAAGTACACATCACTTAGTCTATAATCTAAAATAGACAATGATATTGAAATGTATTTTACAGAGCTTTTTTTACATAAGGTGTGCAGATTATCATAATATGCTTTATACTTTCACCATTGCATTATTTTTATGGGAGAGGTTGAAAGGCATATATATTGTTACACAAGAGGGTAAGTCATTTATTATTATGACACATGAACTCAGTAATGAAATTCAAATTAGTACCCACATAGGACTCAGTTGCTTTTGAAGTATGAAAGACTGGGGTTCAATGTCAGACTTGGTTTCTCATGAAATGTCTCTCCTTGGGGGTACTGAATCTCAATTCATATTCAATGTTCTTTCTACTAGACTATATAACAGCAATTAAAAGGCATGGAATATGACACTGGCTGCAATGGAAACACAGGCATGTCCATCATTGTGGTTTTGTTTCATTGTGTTGTGTTTTGCTTTTGTTTCACTTTGTATAAAGGCAACAGACCAAATTTATATAATGTTCCCTCTCATAAACATTACAAGGATCAAGCCAACTGATATGTATGACTCCTTTACTTATGTGTCTTAAATACGTTTCTGAACTTTGACCACCCAACGTTTTAAATGCATGAAAAGCGCAATTTGTTATGCAATCATAAAAGCAAACAAACTATTCTTCTGCATTAATTCATTGTACAAATATTTGCTGAGTGTATACTAAATTGTGGATACCTTGGTAAGCAGTATGATAGGAATAAAATGAGTAAGCCATTGTCCCTCTTCTCCAGGTGGTTATAGACTTGAAGTGGGAGGAGGGATGGTGCATGAGGGAAGAGACAAGCAATCCAAGGATTATGTGTCAGTATAGTATAGTAGAGTGATAAGCGTCATGATAAGTGGACACAAAATATAAAAGGTGAAACTCTACTTTATGGAGGGGATTGGGAAAGGCTTCCACAAGCAGGTGATTGATGGCTGAGTTGATTCTTGATGAAGCAGAGGTGGTAAGCAAACAAAAGAGGATGGGGAGAAGGAGAGCGCAAACTGCAAACAGTTCAGTATGGCTGTAGAGCAGAGTATGCTAAGGTAGTGATGGATTCAAGCCATGAGATATTGGATGTTGCAGGGGGACAAATCATAAAGGCCTCTAATGCCATATTAAGGAGTTTGGTCTTTAACCTGAATATTTTAAGGAACCACTGGATGATTTCTAAGCAAGAGGGTTTCATAGTTTGGTTTGTATTTCAGTAAAATCATTTGAGCAGTTTAGAGAATGAACAGGTAAGGGCAGAATTTGAGGAAGGGAGACTAATTAGGAGGATGTTACAGAATTCCAGCCAAGACATAATGGGGTCCTGAGGTAAAGCAGCTGCAACAGTGTTGGAGATAGCAGATGTTTTTAGGAGATGCTAATGTGGTTATAGCTCTTTAGATATTGGCGTCTGATTGGATGTGTAGGTTGATTTTAAGGGAGGAGTCTAGGGTGGCTCATAGATTTCTCAATTGGGTAGATGCTAAATGATAAGGTTATTTTTGTGGGAAATACAAATGTATACACTCCTATACCAGAAGTACACAAGATATATGCTTGGATGCTATCGGGACTCAGAATAGACTTCTTAGTCTATACGGTTATGCAAATCTACATGATATTTCCCTTTCTTTCTTTGAACAGAGTACTATGATCTCACTTGTATCATAGCTTCAAATAACATATCTGGAGGAAGGGAGACAGGCTAATGGAAATTCTAAAGGGAAGAAACCATTGATCATCTGACCTCATTCTTATTTGCTTCTTCAGAATTGCCTATAGGTTATCATTAGCCAGCTTCAGGAACATTGAGGCAGTGAGGAGTCATTGCCCAAAGTTCTCTGAGCATCTGAGATGATGAAAAATGAGAATCATTATATGTTAGTCATGCTCTAAGAAAGGGATCAGCAAACTATGACCTGTGGTCCAAATCTGGCCTGCCTCCTGTTTATGAAAATAAAGTTTTATTAGAATACTATGTTCATTCATTCACTTATTGTCTCTGACTACTCTCAACACTACAATGATAGATTTGAGAAGTTGTGACACAGGCCATATTATCCACAACACCTAAAATATTTACTGTCTGGTTCTTCAGAGAAAAAGCTGGCCAACTCCTGTTTTAAGGGATCATTTTACACATCATTTTAGTGCTCAACAAAACCACAAGCTAGGTTCCCTTTTATTTCCCAGCCTTATGTGCATTTAGGTTGAGGCCATGTAACTGACTGATTGACCTGTTAGTAGAAGTGAGCCTTCTCCATCCCTCTCTTACTCTCCAGATGATGTAGTTGCAAGATGAAGTAGGGTCATTCAACCCAATTTGGGCTTTATGAGAAGTTGAAATAAACATCCTTTATGTTAAACTATTGAGATTCTGGGTTTGCCTGTGGTGGCCCTAGAACTACTTATCCTAACTAGCACAGAATGCAGTGGCTCACTTAAATGATTTACTCATGATTACATAAGTAGTTAGCACAAAGGGCTTAGATTGGAAGGAATGTTCATGTATTCAAACCTAGAGACAAGTAGATGGTGCCTCAAAACACAAAGGACAGAGGCAGAATTAAAAAGAGATATCTGGGGGCTTCCCTGGTGGCGCAGTGGTTGAGAATCCGCCTGCCAATGCAGGGGACACGGGTTCGATCCCTGGTCCAGGAAGATCCCACATGCCGCAGAGCAACAAAGCCCATGTGCCACAACTACTGAGCCTGTGCTCTCGAGCCCGTGAGCCACAACTACTGAGCCCATGTGCCACAACTACTGAGCCCATGTGCCACAACTACTGAAGCCCATGCACCTAGAGCCCATGCTCTGCAATGAGAAGCCACTGCAATGAGAAGCCTGCGCACTGCAACGAAGAGTAGCCCCTGCTCACTGCAACTAGAGAAAGCCCGCGTGAAGCAGCGAAGACCCAACACAGCCAAAAATAAATAAATAAAATAAATAAAAATTTATTTTTAAAAAAGAGATATCTGTGTGGGGAAATAATAGCAATGGGAGAAAAGAATAAAGAGATGGTAGTGATATTAAAAATGGAGATAAAAGAGGATGGGTCTGGAATATTTGTTTAAACTTTCATTTTAATATATTCTGTTTTTAAAAAACTATTCTGATGGAATCCTGCTAAGTCATTCAGTATAAGAAAAAAAAAAGTGTTTTCACAAATTCACTGAAATTACTAGTGGAATTTGCCAAGTTTTAATGTTTAAGATAAGTGGGACCTCTAAAATATCTCCCCTGCCTCCATGGTCCAGCACTCATATCTTTCTAGCTTCCAAAGGACTTGTTCCCACACATATTTACTTAACTAGAGATAGCAAACTATAGATCATGGGCCAAACCCAGGCTTCTGACTATTTTTGTAAAGCATGTGAGCTAAAAATATTTTTTACATCTTTTAATGGTTGAAAAAAATGGAAGAATAATATTAGTGACAGGTGAAAATTATATAAAACCCAAATTGCAATGTTTATAAATAAAGTTTTATCAGAACATAGTCATGCTCATTCACTTATATTTCATGCGATTGTAGCAGAGCTGAATAGTTGCAGCAGAGACCATAGGACTCACAAAGCCTATTTTATTCTCTGGTCCCATACAGAAAAGGTTGGTGATCCCTGCTATGCAGTGATTAGGGAATATCTCTGAGGACCTGAAACTGAGTAGACACATGAATGATTGTGAGTCAAGGCTAGCTACATGGAGTTGCTGGACGCAGTACAACATGGAAATGTGGGGCTCTTTGTTCCAAAAGCAGGGAAAAAAGTTTTTCCTTTATTCCATGGTCTCTCTCTAGATCTGTCATGGTGCTTTTATTTGCCACTTACTGTTGTATTCCCTTGGGCACAGGGACACTTAACAGGATGAGCGGAG